GGACACTGATGCCATCAGTGAGTTTTCTCTCTTCATAACCTAGTCACCCCCACCAACTCTACCTTATAATACCACATTATCTTAGAGGTTAAGAGTTCAATGTGTGGATTTTAAAAGAACAACAACATTTAACCCATTGCAGCTAGTATGTTCTTTTGGTTTTGTTTACTGTGTGCCTAGCACCTAAAACTATTACTAGAACAGTATAGATTCACCAAATCGTTTTAATTAAATATTTGATTAGTTATAAATCCAGGAAGACCAGTTAAAAGGTATTTCAAATATCACTAATGAGGCAATTGTCAAGTCAGAGTTAAGATAGAGATTTTAAATGAAAAGACTTAGGTAGTAGAATAAGAATTGACTGGTGAACTTCTGTATTTAGACATAACCAAAAGGAATAAAGTGAAGCTAACTCCTAAGTGCCTAATGCAGGTCGTAATGTTCACCAATGTGAGAAATAGTGTGTTCTGGGGAAAGGTGTGCTGGGGAAAGGAACTACAAACCATTCATTTAGGCCATTGAAGAACATCCATAAGCTATTCGGTTAACAGTTGGAAACAAAGGTACAAAATACAGAGAGATCTATAGGCTAGGAAGATATCTTAGTAATATTCTACTGGGTGCTTGCTAAATCTATAACATGGGGTGAGATCATTAAGAAAACTACATATCAAAAGGACTATGACTCAATCATTGTTAACATCATAGCTAACATCTAAAATAGACATAAAATAGTCAAAATGTTCAGTAGTCACACTGTTGTGTATATCTGATTTAATAAATGTGTTGCCATTAAGATCTTTCATTCTTGCAGACAATGTGAATTAATTGTCAGATTTATTAATCCACAACTAAATATTATGTATATCTATTTATCAGTGGCAGAAGTTAATATTTCCATATAATATATTAAGATATATTTTCAAATGAAAATTAAATCAATTCCTGTATTACAAATTTCCCATGCAATAAAATACATACATACCATGTGTGAGACAAAATTCTAGACATTTGAAAGACAATCAAGAGACTGGTTATCATCATTTTTCTCAAAGTGAGATCAAGAGAGACAAGAAATGGCGCTTTTCTGTCCTCTGAAGTATTGGTAACTTAGGGTATATAAGGAAGTTTGTGTTCTTTCATAGAAGCCTCCCTGGTCTCCATTTCCAGCTCTACCATGCTTGATCGAGAAGAATTTACTTTCTCAGCCTAACTTTCCCTATATTCAGATTGGATTCTATTAGTGACTTCCTGAAACTGTTTTGAAAGTTACCTGTTCACATGTGTAATGCCTGACACAGAGTTTTTCACAACATGGCTATTAAAAGGGCAACTAAATAAGGAGGGGGGATGAAGCTAAGTAATCGTGGTGATCATATTACAACTGAATGTTTGTTTTTTCTGTTTTAATGCAAGTACCAAAACTCTTGCTGGTTAATATTCTGAAAGAAAAGCAAACAATTTCCTTACACAGACTTCAACTACATTGCATGTCAAAATTCAAACGATTGTGAAGATACTCCCTGTAAGTTTACAAAGCTTACAGTTCATCTGGAATCACCTTAAGCTTTATAATCAGCAGTGTGCAGAGATTTACCTGTGAGTTACACAGCAGGTACTTCCTCAGCTGTTTCTACAGGGTGGAACAATCGATTCTTACATAATTGTCGCTTGAGAGATTAAGATAATTTAGATGCCACACCCTTTGTTCCTTGAGTCATATGTATATGATGCTTCTCGATCCCTCAGTTTAAGATGTTGTCAGTGAACTAAGGGCAAAGTTGGCTCTGGGTCATTCCCCATGGGAGGCGAGGCTGTTCCAAACTGAAGACTGTGCTGACTCCAACCTTCAGTTTTTGTTTTGTTTTCTTTTCCTTTTTTAGAATTTTTACCATATTCTTTTCCTTTTACTGAAAACAGATTTTCTCATGCAATACATGCTTATTACAATTTCCCCTCCCTCTGCTCTGCTCAGATCCTTCCCACCTCTCCTCCCCTCCAGATCCACTCTATTTCTGTCTCTCATTGGGGAAGAACAGGCTTCTAAGAGACAACAACCAAACATGACAAGATAAAAGATGAAGCAAACTATCATACCTAAGTTGGACACAGCAACCCAACAGGAAAGAGACACAAGAGTCAGAGATCTGACTCTTTCTCACTCATTCTCACAGTCAGGAGTCCCATAAAAACACTAAGCTGAAAGCTGTAATATATATGCAGAGGACCTGACACAGACCCATGTAGGCCCTGTGCTTACTGCTTCAGTGGCTGCGAGCTCATGTGCATCTTTCTTGGTTGATTCATCCCTTCTTGATCTTACAATCTTTCTGCCTCCTCCCCCACGGGATTGCATAAGCTCTGAGGATAGGAATTTGATGGAGCTCTCTGATTTAGACTCTCTCTCCACATAATGTCTGGCTATGGGTCTCTGCATCTGCTCCCATCTACGGCCAGAGTAAGCCTCTCTGATGATGGACTGGGTAAGGCAATGGAGTTCTCACCCCTGTGTTCTAGTCTCTTCAGTATGGGAAGCTATTCTTCAGGCTACTGAAAGAAAAACATGTACACCAACCCATTCACAGAACCTTTGACCTACAACCTATCCCACCTGCAAAATATGCTAGGGCAATGGTGACCCAGAATGTGTGGGAGTAGCTAACCAATGTCTGATTTGATCTAAGGCTCACTCCATGAGCAGGAACCCATACCTGACACTGATTGTGTAACCACAAAACAGAGACTAGATATCCCAGAGATCTGGAGTAAAACCAAACACTATTGCTCTAACAAAATCAATAAAATGATTTCCAATGATATTCTGCTATACCCAACCTTTGCTTTTTAATGTTCAGGCTTTATTGATCTTCAACTACCTCCTTGTTTTTGGTTACCCCTTACTCCACACCAGATTTCACCTCCAGAAATAGAGTCTGCCCATAGTAATTCTGTGGAAAACTGGCTTCTACTCTCGTATTACTCAGCAATAACTAATATTTACTGAGCTTCAAAGCCCAGATATTGTGGCCCATTGTAGGATATAATTGGAACAACAATTTGCTAAAATGACAAGTGAATCCACTAATGCTAGAGCTAGTAAATGTCAAAATTGCAGTTTTCTCCCAACTGCCGAACTCAGAAAGCCAGTTTCACCGGTACAACAAAATAAACAAAATGAAGTAAAACTGATTAGACAAGGTAAAGCCATTATTATTGGATAACTTCCTCCCCACTATATTATTTAAAAACACTTTTATTAAATGATATATTTTATCAGGACCATTTTTAATTTACAATGTATGAAGTAAATTAAAAATGCAACTTAGTAAATATACAACCACCTCCATCTAAATTGTCATTGGTCCCATCCACAACACATAATATACAGAGAATGTATTATGACAAGGAGAAGAACACCATTTATGAATATGGTATCTGAACATAATTCAAGCACTGCAAGGCAACCCTGCCTTGAAACCTAAAGTCAAGAAACCGATGATCACCTTAGAATATTCCTTTGTTACCTCAGAATGTCCAAAAGCTAATAGAAAGAAAAGTGGAAGTCAGACTAGAATCTGCTTAAATGTAACTGAGTCCCAGTTCTGGTAAGGTCTTAAATTATGAAACATACCCAGGAGTTTACATGGGCAATAAATATTCATAAATATCATAAATATTTGAAAACCCCAAAGTATGCCCGACCCCTCTACAGTCTATAGCATCAGAAACAATAACACGAAAAACATCTATTCTGAAAAAATTCACCGATTAACATATTTAACTAGAAACATTTTTATCATGTCTTATATAACCTTATTTTACCTTCAAATAGCCTTGTGAGATAGGCACAGTTATTCCTGTTTCTTTAAGTGAATGACATTACTACCCAAACAAGCTGTTCTGGTGACTTCCCCATGGGAGTGTCCATGGCCATGTCTCTCCTGAAGGAAAGGAGACAGTGAATCAGATTGCTCTAAATGATATGCCTGATGTAATTTGAGATAATATATTAATGAAAACTGGTTGACCTACACTGTAGTTTATAAAGTTTTAAGGAAAAAAATAAATCATATGTATCATCTGCTGTTGGAAAGGCACTAACCCAGTGGTTGTAAATCAGATATTCCACATATCACATATTTACATTGATTCAAACAGTAGCAAAATTACAGTTATGAAGTAGCAACAAAAATAAATTTATGGTTGGGGGTCACCATAGCATGAGGAACTGTATTCAAGGGTTGCAGTGTTAGGAAGGTTGAGAACCACTGCGGCTCATGCTGCTTTCCTTGTCTGCATTGTCATCTGTAATAATGTAAAGTAACATCTTGCAGTAACATCTTGAAGGACGTTATTGTTCTAATCCTCAACCCCACCCCACCATTCTCCTCTTCCATCTTTCACCCTCAATGTCGTCTTTCCTCATACCCTTGGTTATTGTCCCTGATTAAGATGGATTGCTGTGACGGTACCAAGATTGGGAGCTTGCATGGTTTTACAGTATGACAAAATCTTTTGTGGTTAGTCTTAATAGCACACTAACTGTGAGCCAAGCACTATATTGTATATGTTTAGTCCCAGCATTCTGGAAGCTGTGGCAGGTAGATGTCTGTAAATGTGGTCTACCTTGGCCTACATAGGCAATTCCAAGTCAGCTGGAGATGCATAGTAAGACCCTCTCTCACAAGCACAAATAAATAAATAAAAACCCAAACCCAAAGTATACTGACTTGTTGAAAAAGATAAAGTAATTCTACACCATAGTTTAAAAGTTCTACCAAACTTTTTCAAAAAGTCAACAGTTCTATGAAGAAAAAAAACACTCTGAAAGGAAAAGTATTAAGAGCATCCTGGTAGGTTCAGGTTGATTCCTTACTAAACTTCTATGATCAGATTCATGGACAAGCTAAGAGACTCAGAAAGACAGTCATGGACACTGAGAGTGTGCATTTCCCAGTGAATTGAGTGGCTTTCTTTTCTTTGACTCCTGTTCTCAGGCCAAGACCAGTGATACCACAATCAAGGTTCTTCAGTCCGTTTGTAGTGGCTTTTGTTGTCATAACAACAGTACTGATCCTGGCCATGACTATAGGTCTACTTATTCACTTCTTAGCTTTTGGTAAGTACCTCTCAGATTAAATAACTAAATATATTCTCTAACTAAAACCATAGTCTTTCCTCCTATGACTATATCTCTTTTTGGACATGAGGTCATATTGTTCAGAATTCTCCTCTAAGTATATATTCATAGATATCCATATATCTTCTCAGTGAGCATTTTAATTTGTTTTTTGGTTTGGTTGTTCTTTAGGGAGGAGGTGGGTGATGCTTTGGCTTTTTAAAATATACAAATTATGCCCAGTTCTTGGCTGGTGGAAGTACGAGAACCAGGAATTCAAAGTAATCTGTGGCTATATAAAGAATACAAGGCCATCCTGGTTGTATGAAACACTCCCTCAAAACTCCAAAGTAAACAATAAATAAATGTTGGAGGTCCTGCTGGTCAGAGGTTGCAGTCTACCATGGCCTGGCATGTGTCTCAAAGTTCAGCAACATGGAAGATTTCCCCCACCCACACCTAGCCTCTTCAGTGTCTCAACCTGACCTTATTTGGAGAATGTCTCTAGGCCTGGGTCACTAGTGTGACCCTTGACAAAGTTCTTGGCAGAAGCTTTCCCCCTGATAACTTGTTAGGATATTTTCTATAGGACCCTGCTGCCATATACAGAGTCTTACAATAGGAGTGTGCTGTTTAATGCAAATTAGGCCACTGTCCCCAGCCTTTATATATCCCTTCACTCCGGAATAAAGCTGAACTGTAATACTGAACCAGTCTCCTGGAAGGCTATTTCCATCGTATCACAGATCAGACAAGGTCCTGCTTGTTTGCTTGCCACTTCTGACCCCTTTTCCCTCATGACCATGGACTTTGGGGAAGGAAGATACCTGCAAGCAAAGCCTACCTTTTTAATATAGCAAATATTGTTACATAGATGAGAACCAATATAGCTGAAAAGTAAAATCTCTCACTACTTCTTTCCTGCTAACATTTGATGGCTTTTTTTTTGGTTAATACCACGATTGCCTTTTTCATTTAATAACCTGATAAAATCATGAAAGTAAATTTTGCAAACAACCTTGAGTCTCAATGCATGAAACTCAGACATGCCTTAGTGTTTGATAACTCAGACTGTCTTCTGAAAGCAGTCTTGCAAGCTAAGCAGCCACTACGATCAGTAAATAAGTTTGTGTGTTGCTGAGAAATAGAAAGCTGTAAAGTCAAATTTTAAATAAGATACATGATTTTAATATTAGTTAACCTTTAAAATAGCTTATAGTATATCATTAGTTGATTTAGATAGCATGGATAAGAAAAATTAATGTAAATGTATATATAAATATATATAAAGAGGTTTCTTTAAAATCTCATAAATACTATTTCAGAAGTTTTAATATACAAAATTAATCATAGATAAGGTAACTGTATAATAATATAAATAATATAATGGTTAATATTATTTCAGAAGTTTTAATATAGAAAACATTATTGAATAATATATAACATTTCCCTTAAAATACACTTTGATTTTATTTTTAGGAATAATTATGTTAACCCTCATGTATGGTATGCAAATAGATATGTATGACTATGGATAGAAAAGGAAAAAACACAAATTTATGGTATGTCCTATTATAAAAAAGGCAAAAATGGTTGAAAATATCATTATCAATACTATAGAAAACCAGTAATGAGGAATAATCATTTAAGATAATCAATTGTAAAAGCTGTAACCGAATTGAGTTTGTCACAACATCTTACCATTAAATTTACATGACATTAGCCTTCAAATGAATTATAGGTAGAGGAAAAAGAAATATCATTGATCTCCATATTAAATTTATGAATATCACAAGTAATGACACCACACTGTCACACTTAAATATGTAATGCTATTCAAGTCTTACTCTAGTGATCATTCATGAAATAAAAATGACTAACCCCATCCCCACCAAACTTCTTTACCCTTAGTGCCATTCGGTCTTTCTTGTTATACTTAACTTCTCTATGGGTTAAGTGTATGAATGATCAGAGGGAAGTAGGGATTTTTCTCAAGAAGTTCTGCTAAGTCATGTCCATATTCATAATTTCCTAAGTCACTTATGTGTATTTTAAGGATTCTTGACATCTTTAAACTGAATGTTTATTCCAGAACACTCCTTTGGTGAGAATAAAACTCACAATAAACAACCAGAAAAGACATGTTATGAGTTTTCCAGGAAAATGGTCAAATCACTAACTCCTCTACAAAAATTATTGCCTGAGGGTCTGGAGAGATTGTTCAGTGTATAAAGTGTCAACTGCCCAAGCACACATGTAAACTGTAGGCATAATTCATGTATTTGTAACTAGAGTGGGCACAGACAGGCAGATCCTGGGGTTTGTCATCCAGAAGTTTAGCTGGAATGATGAAATCCAGGTTCTCTAAGAGACCTTGTCTCTAAAAACTAAAGTGGAGAAAAATAAAAGAAGACACTTATCATTAAGTGGTACACACACACACACACACACACACACACACACAAGCAACACAAGCAAATACACATGCACACAAAGCATATACATAGACACCACACACACACACAAAATAACTAATTTTTTAAAAGAATGTTTGAAAATTTTGAACTATTCCATTACTTGAATTGTTTTTACCAGTGAATAATCACATATTATGGATATATATTAATGGCTGATGAGTGAGTAAATCAAAAATATTATTTAGATGTATTACTAATAAAACTTATAGTACTTCTGTACAACTTTGAAGGAGCTAATTAATGCTAGTCCAACTTCTTTTACTTTAGCAATCTTAGCTTTGTCAATCTTTTAAAAACTCAAAAGTAAATAATCCTGGTAAATTTATGTTATGTATGGATTTTTCTTTCTCTTAAGGGATACTATTTTAATTGTATAACGTCTAATAATGCTGCACAAAATAAAAATTAGTCTACTTAGTAGCACTATAGTAATCATGACTTCCTTTCTTCTCCAGACAAGAAAACTTACTTTTACCACAGCAGCTTTCAAATCCTAAATGTTGAATACACTGAGGCTTTAAATTCCCCAGCTACACAGGAATACAGGCATTTGAGTGAAAGAATTGAATCTATGGTATGTTAATACTGATCTTTGCTTTTTATTTCTGCATAAAAGGAAATAAAGAAGTCTAATGTAATAATAATATTTTCATATAATAATGTTACTGGATATTTTGTATTTTTTCTTCCCTTGAGAAGTGAGAAATGTGTTTCTTGGATTTCTCTGAATTAATTTAATTTACCAGTATACTGATTCTTATGTCATAAGTAAATTTGGATTTTATTTGTTTATGACTTCAAAGACTGGAAGTCCTTGTGAAGCTGTATTGAGATTATCCTTTTTTCCCTCAATATATGCTTTTATTTGAATTAGAAACATGCATGCTTCACATGTCAATCCCAGCCCCCTCTCCCACACCTCCTCCCTTGTCCCTCCACCAATCACCCCCAAGCCCCCCATCCAATCCCCACATCATTCCCCAGGGAGGGTGAGGCCCTCCTTGGGGGGATCTCTAAAGTCTGTTATTTCATCCAGGGCAGGACCTATGCCCTTCCCCATGTGTCCAGGCTGAGAGAGCATACCTCCATGTGGAATGGGTTCCCAAAGTTCATTTGTACACCATGGTAAACACTGATCTACTACCCAAAGCCCCAGAGATTTCTGAGGCCTCCTCACTGACACTACATCATGGAGTCTAGATCAGTCCCCTGTTGGCCTCTCAGCCATCAGTCTGGGGTTCAAGAGCTCCCCCTTGTCCTGTCAGCTGTCTGTGGGTTTCACCAGCATGGTCTTGACCCCTTTGCTCATCACTCCTCCATCTCTGTCACTGGGTTCCAGAAGTTCAGTTCAGTGTTTAGCTATGGGTATCCGTCTCTGCTTCCATCAGTCACTGGATGAAGGTTCTAGGATAGCATATAAGGTAGTCATCAACCTTATCATCAGAGAGGGGCTGATAATGTAGTCTCTCCACAATTGCTTAGTTTGCCAGCTGGTGTTACCCTTGTAAATCTCTGGAAATCTCACTAGTGTCAGCTGTCTCCTCAAACCTATAATGACTCCATCTAGTATGGTATCTCTCATCCTGCTCTCCTCTATTCTTTCCTCGACTCAACCTTCCTGCTCCCCCCATGCCTTCTTCTGCCCTCCTCTTATCCCCCTCTCTTTTTCCTGGTTCTCTCTCCCCTCCCTCGATGTTCCAAGAGATTATCCTTTTACATTCCTTTCACCCCTTCTTTTTTCTTTCATTATTCAAGTGAGCACATAAAGTAGTAGGTGTTAAAAGTTACATTCACAGCCCACAGTCAGTGGGTGGCGTCGCATGCCTTTATTCCCAGAACTTGGGAGGCAGGTGATGTGAATTCAATGCCAGCCGGGTCTACAGAGCAAGTTCCAGCACAGCCAAGGCTGTTACACAGGGAAACTCTGTCTCCAAAAACAAGCAAACAAGAAGATATGCTCCCTATACAAGGAATAAGACCGTTTGGACAACAAGCTGCTATGATGATAGGCCTACTAGTTTGACTGGAAATTTTCAAATCGAGCTTTACCTCATGCATAAAGATATGTCTATCTACTTGCCCTGTCCTGAAAAACAGATCCCTGGCACTCATACATCAGCAGAGAGCTTAGGTAGCTTTCAGTATAGGGAAAGAGTTGACCAGACTCAGGATGCTCACTTACCCTCTCCTTTTTTGAAAGACCTAAATATATAAATCAACCCAAACCTTGTGAAACTTTAAAATATAAAACAACCATCTGATAGTCTCATTAAACCTCAGATTTTTGGGTCCCAACTCAACTTCTAAGTTAATAAATTTCACATTTTTAACTAGTTCTAACATGGCACTGACACTGTGTCTATATATCACACTCTGAGAAACAGAAGTTAATCGTCAATGAGTGTTATTACTGCTTCAGAATTGAATAAGCAACTTGTCCCACAACTTAGAGGCGAACTTCATTGGGAGCCAATCTGTAGACATTTAAGCAGAAAAATACAGAGCAGGCTATGCCTCTCACTGAAGAGCTTCAGTCTCTGCCCAGCAGGTCCTTTCCATTAAACTCTCAACATTCATGTGTTCCTTTGACCACACAACACAGTTGTGACCCCTTTTGTCCTAATAAGTGTTTTTTGTTAGTTAGTTAGTTAGTTAGTTTGTTTGTTTGTTTGTTTGTTTGGGGTGTGTGTGTGTGTGTGTGTGTGTGTGTGTGTGTTGTTTGTTTAAATGAAACAGGTTCTTACCATGTAACTGTTTGTCCTGAAATTCACAATGTAGACCAGACTGAGCTTGTACTCTCAGAGCCACCAGGCTGTCATCAGAAATATTTATGTATTCCTCAATGTATAGAATATAAATTAGAGACTGAAATTAAACATTTACTGACATAAATCATGAATAACTTTCAAATAAGCACACAAAGTGTTAGAAAAATATGTTCACCATGAAAGGAATAATTAATTTAGATATTACCTTGGTGGTAGTTCATATATACATATATATATACATATATTTATTAAAGATGAAAGCAATTTACATACTAAGTAGGTAGATGTTGGTGTTTATTTTTACAAAAAGATTTATTCTTGGCTGAACATTTGATCAAACAAAATTCTAAGTATATGCAAGGGCTTTGAGTTAACTGATAATTTGATAATGCATTCCACATAAGTAAGTAGTCCAAATTGCTAAAGCATGTTTAGGGCCTGTCTTAGTTAGGGTTATTCTTGCTGTGATGAAACACATGACCAAAAGCAACCTTCAGAGGAAAGGGTTTTACTCATAGCTCTATATAACAGTTCATCATTAAAAGCAAGTGAAGGCAGGAACTTAAGCAGGGAGGATCCTGGAGGCAGAAACATATACAGAGGCCATAGAGGAGTATTGTATATCGGCTTGCTCCTCGTGGCTTTATTATCCTGCATTCTTCTAGAACTCAGGACCACTATCCCAGTGAGGGCATCATCTACATTGGACTTGGACCTCCCCTATCAATCACTAATTAAGAAAAAAAATCACAGGCTTGCCTGCAGCCTGAACTAATGGAGTCAGTTTTTTAACTGAGGCACCCTCTTCTCAGATGACTGCACCCTGTGTCGAATTGATATAAAACTAAGCAGCACAGGACTAGTTTAAAAATAATTGGAAATTCTCTCAATCTCCAGCCAAACTTTATTTGACTTTTGTTTTTCAAATGAACTTCAAGCTAGCAATTTAAACAGCAATTTTAAAAATCAAACATTCCAACATACACAATACAAAGATCCATTACTTTGGTACTTAAATATTCAGGACTAACAGTAGAAAGTGATTAAATACCTTTGTTTCTTGTGATTGAATCATACTTACACTAAAAATGCTGTCATGCATAACACAGTAGTCTCAACCTAATCCAAGATGCCTCTTGACAGCATTTCATAACACAGAGGACTAAGGGTCCAAACACTTTACTTACAGCTCACCTTGAGCACATCAATACTCCCTTACTCACAGCTTTCTCCATTCAATCTGTTTTTAAAAATTAGAGAGTTTAGTTACATCATTTATACTAAGAATTATCTGCTTCATACTCAACCCATGAACATCCAAAAGTTCTTGGAGCTATCAAAGATCCAAACCTGGAGAGAGATCGTCATAAACGGTTACTCATGAGAAGTCCTCCTACCTATACAACAATGCTATGTAGTATTTCTGTGCTTAGCTAAATATTGAAAAGATCAAGCTTTGCTGTGGGATCAGGACCCAGCTTCTTATTAACACAGCAGATGTCTTAATGGGGTCATTCAGTTCCAGATGGATCAGGACAGATATGTAAGGTCAGCTCAACCTTAACCAAGCACACACAAAACTGAGAGAAGCTAACAATAAAAAAATGTCATAAGAAATACAGTATATTCAACAAAAGGGCTTGAGTGAAAAGAGTAATATTATATATCTTTGCAAAATGCTTAATGTCTTAGAATACATACATATAGACACACAAACCTTGTTATTCTTAAATAAATCTCATTTTCTAAAACATAAATCACAAAGTATGTGTATACCTTTTACCATTAAAATGAAGGTAATTTAGTGTTCTTATTAAGATTCTCTACAATGTGTAAAAGTGTCAGGACGTGCATAAAATGTAAAGAAGAAAAAATATATAAAAGCCCAACGGTGCTGCACATCTAGTACTAACCATGTCAGGGTCTGAGCTGCCCTCCTATGCAAACTGCATCCATAACACACACACAAACACACATGCCTTTCTTTTTTGGTTTTTAAAAATAGGGTTCCTCTGTGCAGCTTTGGAGTATGTCCTGGAAATTACTTTGTATACCAGGCTGGCCTCGAACTCACAAAGATTGGTCTGCCTCTGTGTCTCAAGATTGGTCTGCCTCTGTGTCTCAAGTGCTGGGATTAAAAGCACGCACCACCACTGCCCAGTCACATGCCTTTCTTACAGTGGAGTCAAACATATGCTAGTACCTTCTTTCCCTCAAAAAATATTTCTTCATTTAATTTTATATGTTTAAATACCTAGTAAGTATTATAGCATATAGGATCACAATATTTTATTTGAACATTTCTCTGTAAACACATTTTTAAATTCTTTCAATAGGTCTTGTTTGATTTGTGTGTGTTTGCACGCGCATTCATTGTGCATGCATGTGTACGTGTGTGTGTGTGTGTGTGTGTGTGTGTGTGTGTGTGTGTGTGTGTGGGGTTTTTGGTGTGTGGGGAGCTTTTTGGTGCAACTGATCAGTTGCCTACATCATTACTATGTTTGAAGTACTGTATCTTGATAATATGTTTAAATGCTTCCTTGAATTTATGATGTATGATTTTCATAGTTAAGACATACATGTATCTTCCTGTAGAAGAATAAGCGTTTATGGGAATAACAAGAATTCAAAGCAGGGTATCATGACTGAATAGAAGAGTTGCCATTTCTCAGTGATAACAAGATGCAATAGGTTTCTGCCAACCACAGTTATTACCTTCCTCAAAATTTGCATAATAGCACTCCTATCACAAACAAGATAATGGGAATGAACTGGGAGACAGAGAGCAGAGTAGTATGAGTTCTAGGACCCCAACCCCCTTTTTAAAGAAAGAAATAAAGGGCTCAGCTGTTAAAGGCTATGTTCCTCTGCTTCCATCAGTCACTGCATGAAGGCTCTAGGATGGCTATAGACATCAAGTTCATTATTAGGAATGGGCAAAACACCCACAGTTAAACAATGGACTGAACCCATGAAACCTAGTGACAGAGAGAGAGGAGCGATGATCAAATTGGCAAAGAATGGGCTGACAAAACCAGCAGAGACAGCTGATCTGAACAAGGAGGAGCTCTTAGACCCCAGACCGACAGCTGGGAGTCCAGCATGGGACTCATCCAGACCCCCTGAGTGTGAGAGTCAGTAAGGAAGCCTGGGCAACCTATGGGGCCCTGGGCAGTAGATCAGTGTTTATCCCTGGCATACAAACAGACTTCGTGTGTCCATAACACAAAGAGGGATGCTCTCTCAGCCTGGACTCTTAGGGGAGTGCCTGGACCCTGCCCTGAGTGAAATGACAGACTCTAGATACCCCCTATGTGGAAGGAAGTGGGGATAGGGTGGGAGGCTGGGGGGCGATAGTGGAGGGGGGTGCGGGAGGAGGGGAGGGAGAGAAAACTGGGATTAACATGTGAAGCAAGCTATTTAAAATTAAAGTAATAAAAAAGGCTATGTTTCAATATAAAGGGGGAAAGTGACTGTTTTTTTATTTACCTTAGTCTTATTTACAACTTATTCATGTTTTTAATTTAGTTTTTAAATTTATTTCATTTATTATTTATTTTATTGAATATAGATTCTTCTCTCACACAATACATCTCATCCACAGTTACAGCTCCCTCCTCTCCTCCCATATCTGCTTCATCTCCTCCCCTCTCCCCCAGATTCATTTCCTCTTGAAAAAAGAGTGATAAAGTTTGCATGCATATACACGCACACACACACACACACACACACACACACACACACTTGCAGACCATTGTTACAGTAGACAGATCACATGACCACATGCCTTATTTCCTTTCTTCCTCGAAAACTGTACTTCGTAATTCTTTGAATTTCAAGACAGTGGCAAAATATAATAATGGATATTAAAGACAACATACAACACATCTCTTCAATTCAATTCACCTCACAGATAACAGAACAAACTGCAGCTGTCAAGTAACAGACTGGGAAGAGTGATTTGTAGAACCCACAGAGAGCTGCTACGGTGTTTGCCTTCTAAAGGCAAAAATGGAACAATTATACTTTAATTCTATTTGCAATGCTTTTATATGACCTATTATATTACCTATTATATTAATATGTATAGTGATGGTCCCTTATGTTTTAATTTTTGGAATTTACTTAAAAGACACATGATTCACATTAGTCTTTAAAAACCATAAATATGACTAGTAAGAATGCTAGAGTATTCTTTCTTTTTCTCCATTTGTTCTTCTTTCATACAATACCTGCCAACTGCAGTTTCCCCTCCCTCCACTCCTCCTAATCCTCCCCACACACACCTCTCCTCTCCCCCAGATCCACTGCTCCACCATTTTCCCTCAGAAAACAGTAGACCTCCCAGAGAAGAATATTCTATAACATGAAGAGAATGTTGAAACCGTCAATTATAAGGAAAACACAAAATTCTTTCTTCATCAGTATTTACTTGGTTTTCCCCAATGCTATAAAAAAAGTCTATAAAACAGGATGTAAAACATAATGATTATAAAAATTAATAATTGAATAGTCTGGTAAGGAGCAGTTATGACTCATGCTCTTAATAAACATAGTAACATGTCTTTTTACATAAATAACTGAAATATAGATATTTCTAAATGATAGAACAATTCATGTCACACTATGTAATTTAGTAAATTTTGCTTTTTCTTTAAAGTTGATGTATTTCCTTAATTTTAAAAAGAAAACGTGAATTATTGTAATAAGGTCAAAGTTTCACTATTTTTAAGGAAAATTAAGGTCTGTCCCATGTCAATGGTTCTTCTATTAACCTATACTGGGAATTGATATTTAAAAGTTATGGTATTATAGAAACCATATAAATTTTATCAGTTGAATAAAAATTTGACTTCAAATCCTGGATAAATATAATGTCCAGGAAGCTGCCTAATTTCTTATTTCTACTACCTCATGTTGACATACATTGGGTCAACTTCATTATATAACTGGAAGTAATCCACTCCATTACAAAATCACAATGTACTTGACATTGTAGCACAGGAGAACTCTGACAAACTCTTCCTTGTTAACTGTGAAACTAAACTTTATACCTAAGACAACTACCTCTACTAGGAAATAGCTAAGGTTGTTAGCTCAAGAAAGCATCAACAAATGTTACAAGTAATGACTGTAGATTAGGGAAGAATCAAAAACTAACAGGGAAACACTGTTCTTTGCTGTTCACCCTCCCTTCATATTTCTCATTACTAATTGGACTTAATCACCTAATTAATCACTAATTAGTCTTAACTGATTTCATTCATCTAAAACACAGTCATTGTGGACCCCATGCATATCAAGTTGTATGAAAGGAATTCCCTAATGTTGACTTTAGTCTTACCCCAACTACCTCATTTATAACTAGCAAATCATATATCATAAGGTCTCATGAATTAAAACATTTAATGTAGCTAGAGTGACTTGTATTGAAGGCATGCCCTGTCCAGATCATCTCTGCTTAATAACTGTGAAATAGGAACTACATCAGAAGGTTACACTACCTGCCTGTATTCATTCTATGCTATCTGCGATAAAACTTACCAGACCTCACCTGACAGATTTCTACTTCTCATCATATAAGCCCCAAGTTACAGTCATTAAAATAGAAAGGAGAGGTTGCAATTACAGTGAGGTTATTTTCCCACTTTCTTTCTACAGATTACTGATGCATTCCGAGAATCAAATTTAAGAAGTGAGTTTATCAGAACACACGTTGTTAAACTGAGGTAAGTGAAAGACTATCAAAAATCATATTTACAAAGATGCAATATACTCTGTTGGACTTCTGTTTACACTATGGATATTAATGGCATGTTCATGCAATTGCTATAATAAGATGAAGTAAAAATAGCAAGAAAATGGGCCAGCTTAAAAAATGAAATAAAATGCTGTATTTATTTTGCTATTGACACAAATAACCATATCACAGCATTCTGAATGAGTACAAGAAAAGCTGGTGTGAGGGGACAGTAACAGAGCCTTGCTACTGTGTAAATCCACTGGATATCATAAAGCAGTCTACGTAAACAGTGCCTCCTTGAGTTCACAAACTTGGGATGTATTCATCCAAGATTATCACACCATGCCAACACCAGAAATAAGTTTTTGGCTTCACTTGCCTGGAATGTCATAATAAAAGGATGGCATTGTGGTAAAATCCATGACAAGTCTGAAGTGAATTAATAACAGGAGTGGCAAAATGCAGGCTTTAGGAATCTGCTACTCCATGTAATATGACAAAAGAGGACCTTTCAATGAAAAACTTCACACTGAGTAATGTTCGCAGAAATGTCTTAAGTGCCCACATTGTTCAATCCTTTATGTAGTAATATGAAAGTTCTTCAACATGGAAAAAAGGTGCACAAATTATTTCTCAAGTATTAATTAACATCATAAAAAGCAGAATTACAGTTAAATTGAATTTTGATGAGGAATTAGAGGCTGAGGAAGAAACTACGGGAAGAGTACAAAACATGTTTCTATCTATTCAGTGTGCATTCCTTTGGGTTATTTGTTGTGTCTGCACTAGCTTGCAATGCTCAAAGTTTTAAGCCAACACTAAAGAGGTAGAAGGAAAAAGCCACCCACATTTTGTTTCTTTTGTTAACTTCCCACTTGCCACTAATCCACTGTAGTCTGTCTTCTAACCACACTCCAAATACAAGATGTTCTTGCCAATTTCATCAACAGCATCCGAATCACAAAATCCAAGAAAATCTTTTTAGTTCTACTTCTCAACCTCTGAGCACCATTTGACATTGTTACCTTGTCCTTGAAATATCATTCACCACCTCTTAGGACTCTTCCCAGCCACGATTTTCCTGTTACCTATCTAGATATTCTTTCTATTTCTTTTGCTAGCTCTAGTATGGTCCTCACATGTTGAACATGTGTGTGCACTGTGAGTCACATAACTTAGTTTACATTCTCTCCTTTCAGTGGCTTCATGATCACTGTGGGTTTTATTCATTAAATAAATCTTTACTTGTTTTCAAACTGTGTATGTCATTCTAGGTTAGACATTTTTCTATCACTACCTGAACTATATTGATATTTATGGACTCTCTAACCAATTTTACCCTTTCCAAGTACATTTAGTCAACTTTCATTTATTGTGATAGCATATACCTTTGGCTTTATTTTGTAATATTTCATATTCTTTATCCTTACTTATTCTTTTTCCTACTGACTTATTTTATTATGAATGACTGAGTTTTCTTCATTTTTTTCTTTTACTGTTTGGGGACTTTCTATTCTGGTTATCCTATTTTAGTGAATATTAATAAAATATGAACAAGAACTGGCATAATTCCCCACCTTTCTTCAAAATGATACAGGGAATTTGATAGTCTTGCTGCTTTATTATCAGTGATGTTCCAGTTACATTGCATTTCCTTTGACAGATGTATGAGTGTGGTGTACAGGTATGTATGTGTATAGGCACATGTTTGAGCAAGTGTATGTGTACACATATGAGTGAGTATATGAAGATTCAAGGATGTCACTGGATGTCCTCTTTGATCATTGTCGACCTTTTACACAGAGGATCTCTTTCTGGACTTGGATTTGCTCTTCAAACTGGTCTGTCTAGTCATCTTGGTCTGGGGTTCCTTCCCTCTACTTCCCATCCTCTTGGCCTTCACATGGATTCTGGAGCCCTGAACTCTAAGATAGTAGTGATTTTTCAGTACCAAGAATATTTTGTGACATACTGCCTTCTATCTTTCTGTGAAGAAGTCACAGTCAACTTCTTTCATTTGTTCTTCATGTTTTAGCTAGGCTTTTCTGTTTTTGTTAGAAGAATCATTTCTTAGTCTTCAATTCTTATTTTCTTTTGTTTAGTGTGCTTAAGACTCATTGTGATCATGTATTTAGGAAATTGGGATAATTCTTACTGTCTTTCCTAGTATGGCAGTTGCTTTCTTTTGTCTGTTCTCCTCTTTCGCATTACATCAGTATATGTTAACCTTTCCTGTCTCTTAAAGTCTGTTTGATCATGTTCATTCTTTACCTGTTGTTAGACTCTGTAATTTCCTCATACCTACATTTCATTTAACTGAATGTCTTTAACTTTGACCAACATTCTTTGTAAAGATTTATAAAGCTGTTGCTTCACTGAGGATTTTTTTTGTCTGTTTGTTTGTTTGGTTGGTCATTTTATCACAAAGCTTTACCAAGTCTTGTTAGTTTTTCTGTTCTTTTTCTGCTTTGTTGAGATAAGGTGCTGTTTTACTGCTCGGGATAGCCTCAGACTCATTCAGTTCTCTTGCCTTAAATTCCAGAGTTTTGTGACTACAGGCATGAGCCACAACATTCCAAATACCTCCTTTGGGGTGGGGGATAAAATCTTCTATTTTCTCATATTTATGATTCTTTCTTTTGTATCATTAATCATGTCAAATATACTTCTCCACTAGTGATACTGTGTTGAGCATTTCAAGATGCTCCTTTGTCTCTTTTTACTTCAGCCTCCTAATACCTTAAAGATTCTGAGAATACATAGGTAGTATCAATACAAACACAAATGTTATATAATCAGGTTCACGATTTCAAGCTTTCTGGAAAAAAATTCTTTCTTCCTCTCATGTGTAGCTGAGCCTTGGAAAGAGATAAACCTTTTCTTTATGATGAACAGGTTTTTATTTCTCTTTAATTCATGCTTCCCCTTGAAGGACCTTAGGTAATCAGGTCCAAAGCATAGTGATGTCCCGAGCTCAATAACCAGACAGTTGGATGCAAACTGAAAGAGGTTTATTGTTCACACAGGAGCCTACAGGCATTCCAGCAGCCTTAGCTAGCTGAGCACGCCGGGCTTTAGGACAGTTTTCTTTTTATATACATAATCTTGGCAAGCAAAGCAATAGGGGTATTGTAAAAAGCGTGGGCATAAGTTAGCCTTCCTGGAGAAACCACAAGGTCAAAATTAAGCTTATCTCAACAGCCTGCCGGTTTCCTGCATGAGCACTCTGGACCAGATGTTCTTTTTGATTTGACCTTGTTCCCTGCCTAGGGGACCTTGGGGAATTTTCCACTGAGGCAACCTTCTGAGTCTCAAGAGGGGGGATGTATTGAGGTCTTTCATTCCCCCATTTCTTTTTGTGAAGTTTTAATCCTAAAATTTATGGTCCCTCTTGTTGTTTAAGAGCTTGGTACTTCTGTGTGAGAACCAGGGCCTGGGTGATAGATAGGCGTTCCTTGATGAACATCATAAGGTGATTTAAAATACAGGGGCCAAAAGTAAGTAACAGTAACAAAATAACCAAAGGACCTAGTATAGTAGAAATCAGGGTGGTCAGCCAGGGAGACCCATTGAACCAGTGCAGCCGCTCGGGTGCCTATCCCAGCCTCCATTCCTGCCCCCAATAGGAGGGCTAGGAGTAAAATTAGGGTTCTTTTAAGAGACTTCTCTTAAGAGGATTTTGGGTGCGTTGGAGTTTCCATGAGATGGTGGGCAGGTCTTTTGGGTTTTCTCAGGGAGCAGGCTTTACATGCAACACATGCACCCAGGCCACGATGCCGTCAACCTTTAAGGCAGTCGGGGTGGTCAGCAGCATGGTATACGGTCCTTTCCAGCGTGGTTCCAAAGTTTTGGACTGGTGCCTCCTCTTGTAGACCTGGCCACCGATCTGGTGGGGATGGGGCCTGGAAGGTGGTCCCTTATCCCGGTATGCCACTGCCAAAGGCTTCCAAATCTGCTCCTGGACTATCTGCAAGGCTTGGAGGTATGACTGCAGGGTTGGGGTAGTAACATAAGCAAAGATATCAGAATCAAAGAAGGTTACAGCAGGGGAGGTCCTCCATAGAGAATCTCATATGGGGTGAGGCCATGGGGGCCAGGGGTGTTCCTGGCCCGGTATAGGGCCATGGGCATGAGTTGAACCCAGTCTCTAGTGACAGTCTCCAATGCTAATTTAGTTAAGGTCTCCTTAATTGTTCTATTTATTCTTTCTACCTGACCTGAACTTTGGGGTCTATAAGCACAATGTAATTTCCAATCGAACCCCAAAAACTTGGACACCATCTGACTTACCTGGGAGACAATTACCTTGGGTAGGCCGAATCGACGGACGATTTCTTCTAGAATCTTCTTAACCACCATCTGGGCAGTTTCTCTCTTGGTAGGAAGGCCTCAGCCCACCCTGAGAAGGTATCTATGAAAACCTAGCAGGTATTTGTTACCGTACAGGCCAGGTTTAACTTCTGTAAAGTCCACTTCCCAATAGACACTGGGGCAGTGTCCTCTGGTCCTGGTCCCTTCTGGAAGCTTTAGTCTTCCTGCATTGACTTTTGCACAGGGAACGCACTGATCAATAACCTGATGAATGAGATTCTGTACACGTGGTATGTAAAAAAAGAACTCTTCCCTTTCCAATAGATTGGATAGCTTTTTCTTACTAAGGTGGGTTAATTTATGGAGCTCCGTTATTTTTTTTTTTATCATTTTTTATTTTAATTTTAAATATCTTGTTTTACATGTCAATCCCAGTTCCCTCTCCCTCCCCTCCTCCCGCACTCCCCTTCCTCCCCACCCTCCCACCCTATTGCCAAATCCTTCCACATAGAGGATATCTAGAGTCTGTCATTTTACTCTGGGTAGGGTCCAGGCACTCCCCTAAGAGTCCAGGCTGAGAGAGCATCCCTCTTTGTGCTATAGGCACACGAAGACTGTTTGTATACCAGGGATAGACACTGATCCACAGCTCAGGGCCCCATAGGTTGCCCAGGC